GTGTGGCGAACGAGGAAGGAGACGGTGTGGCGAACAAGGAAGGAGACGATGTGGCGAACGAGGAAGGAGACGGTGTGGCGAACGAGGAAGGCGAGGGTGTGGCGAACGAGGAAGGAGATGGCGCCGCGAGCGAGGAAGGAGATGATGTGTCGAGCGAGGAAGGAGACAGGGAAGAAGATGATTGCCCTATGTGCCACGTTAAGTTAAAGGACTCACTTGTCAATGGATTTGTTGTGACTATTGTGATACTTGGTTTCATACCCACTGCACTGAAGCAAAACCCCGATTGTCTTCCGGATATTTTTTATTGTTCTAAATGTGTGTAAGTGCAGTTTTGTAGTGTTTTCCAGTTTTTAAGTGTTTTTACACTACCCATAATACATGTGGTGTCCCATAATGTTGAATGGGAACAGGTGGTACTAAAAGTTAAACAGCAGATGCAGTTTTACTTCAGCGTGGAGAAAATGCAGTACAGAGAAAAGTTAGAAGTGTGTAGTTTACGTGTACCTAAAAATATCTTGGGTGTGTGTTCAATTACTATAAATGGAAGTAAATCAAACTAAGTGTCTCATAACTGTAGCAACTCTAGTAAAGGTAGTCACAAGACATGCCTGTAGGCTGGGGGTTCGGTAGGTGCGGACAAACCACCCACACTGACGTAAGGTCCGCGGTACAGTAGTAGATAGCATGCGTGAGTCGATACACAACCTTTCTTGAGCCCCCAAGGTTCACCGGGCGAACAGATCAGGTCGCGGTAAGCCCAGTGCGATTATGCATATTGGCTTTTTCGCTTGTTTTCACGGCGAACACGGTCGATTCAGGAAAATCGCCCTTTTAATTTTCAGGCTCGCATAGTTCTGAAGCCGTTGGTATCGCTAATGGGCCGCTTCGTAGCCTGTAGTGCCAGAATAAGTGTCGACACACACACACACACAGACAAAACGACTACTGTAACCCTCGCTGCGCATGTGCACCGAGGGTTAATGAAAAGCACTAAAGTGCAAACCCTCGACGAACTGCGCATGCACAATACTGCTAATTTATTGGCTGGGATTTGTATGCGTTTACTAGTGGTCTCCTGCTAGTACCTAGCTCGCGGAAAGTCTGACACTGGCTAGCTACAGTAGATAGCATGCGGGAATCGATACATGCCACTGGACTTCATTGGTACACAGAGTGAGCGGATCTGGTCACGGTAAGCCTAGTGCGATTAAGCATATTGGCTTTTTCGCTTCTTTTCACAGCATAATAATGTCTCCAACGCAGTCGTTTCAGGAAAATCGCCCTTTCAATTTTCAGGCTTGCATATATACTTCTGAAGCCGCTGGTATCGCAAATAGGCCGTGTCGTAGCCTGTAGTGCCAGAATAAGCGTCGACGCACAAACACACACAGACAAACCAACTACTGAAACCCTTGCTGCGCATGCACGCCGAGGGTAAGAAAAGCACTAAAGTGCAAACCCTCGGCGGAAAATGTTCGTAGTTTTGAAAGGTAGGTGGGCTGGGCCATGCGTCGCCAGTTGTCGCCTAACACAGGCTAGCCTACATCTCAGTGGGTAGCGGAGGATGGGGCTGGAATATTTGGCCGTCAATATAATTATAAATGCAGTCCCGCACCTGCTGCCTTCCATTTGCTTACAACAGCGAAAGTCCGTTTCCAATTTTCAGAAATACTCAGCACTTTTATGTCTTTGCTTAATTATGCAAAATTTTAGCAACTGGATGAAATTCTATAGGAATGTATATAGGGCTCACAGGTTCACAAATTTGTCGTCCCTGTAGCTAGTATGGATAGTAATTTGTGAACCTTTAAAAATGTGCTTTGTTTTCTCAGATTGTTTGATTTGGGCAAATTTAAAAATATCACTAAGTACGGTAGTACTTAGTATATAGGGATGACACAGGTTGTCCTGCATTATGCCCATACATTTGAGATTTTCATGTTTCACCTTCTACAGATCCAACTTTTGACACATCAGACTAATTTGTATCGTCAAAAAAGTCACTTTTCAATTTTCTTGTTGTTGTTGTTCAGTTCAGACAAGCGTATCTCAAAAACCGGGATATGAAACTTTCAACACATATTGGAATCCATGTCAGGTCGTGGGTAGTGCAAGAGCATTTTAATTTTTTGTAAACAACAACAAATAGCCCCAGGCAATACCATTATGATAGAGACAAACAAAGTGTGCTAACTGGGTAAAGCTAATACCCAGAGTGATAAAACTTTGCACACACATGCAACCAATCATTAGTATCAAAATGTAAACATTACACGTTTGTAAACAACAACAAACAGCCTCAGGCAATAAAACATGTAAAATGTGTTTGTGCCTATAACTTGCTTATGGTTGGTCCTCTAACAATGAAACTTGGTACACTGATGTACCATGATGAGAGTTGATTGAAACAGAGATTACAAGTTTGTAAACAACAACAAACAGCCTCAGGCAATCAATACTTGTAAATGATGTTTGTCTCTAACTTGTTTATGGTTGGTCCTCTAACAATGAAACTTAGTACACTGATGTACCATGGTGAGAGTTCATCGAAACAGAAATTACAAGTTTGTAAACAACAACAAACAGCATCAGGCAATAAAAACTTGTAAACCATATTATTGCCTATAACTTGCTTATGGTGGGACCTCTAACAATGGAAATTGGTACACTGATGTTCCACGATAGGAGTTCATCGAAACAGAAACTACAAGTCAACAAACAGCCTCTGGCAATAAATACTTGTAAATGATGTTTGTGCCTCTAACTTGCTTATTGTAGGTCCTCAAACAATAAAACTTGATGACACTGATGTACCATGGTGAGAATTCATCGAAACAGAAATTACAAGTTTGTAAACAACAACAAGCAGCCTCAGGCTGTTTTTCCTATAACTTTGTACACTTATCTACTTTGAAAGTGAAATAAAAATGTAGATGACGACTAACATACTGAGGCAATAAATACGTGTTACTTTTCATTATGCCCCAATGAATGTGCATGCCGTAAAAATAGGAAAGGAGACAAGTAAATAAAAAATTATGCGAATTAAAAAAATGTGGAATATAGGGATGCCATAAAAAGCAAGGAGACAAGACAGGGATGGCCTAGTGTTTACTACAATGGGTTGATGGTTACATCTTCAAACGGACATTTCTTGCTCGTGCCCTATATTGTCGCCACCTATAGTTTAGTGAAGTGTGAGGACAATGGTGAAAGGATTTTGTATGTATTGTAAAACTGGTTAGTTCAGCAAATGCAGAAGTCATACACTTCACACAATGCAGTCACAACTGAAAACCGTGTAGATGGTATTACTTGCATTGTCTAGAGAGGGTTCAGAGATTGTTGCTGCAAAAGATGTTGTTGAGTCTGTACAGCCTATTGTTGTTGGTGACAGTAATATCGTAGAGGTAAAAAATCCCAAATTTTTGCTGTTTACAAACTAGAGTCTTTTAAAGTATGTGTTAGATGTGTTGAACCTGGGTCACCTCCTCTAGGGAGGTGCATTGACTGTGGTGTTTTACAAAATTATGATTTTTGTGATGGATCTATTGTTGCTCAGGTTTTGGTATTGGTTGGTGCTAAGATGCAATCTTTGCAGGTGTCAGGAGAACTGGTCACAACCATGGCACAAACAGAACCCCCAACCGAAACAGCTTTAATGAGAGCTGAACTAGCCTCTCTTGCATTCAATCCGGACACAAAAGATATATTGAAGATTTCACATAAATAACTGTTCCTTTTCTTCCTGTTCTTTTTAGTTATTGTTGTAGCTTCATGATGTTTGCTTTTTACTTGAGAAAATTAATGTTGACAACTGGGAGGGAGAGGAATGGAGCGTAATGACAAAGAAGAGACTATTGGCCTCGAATGTGTGCGACGTACAGTGGAACCTCGAAGTCCAGGGGACCATAAAAAAAACTTTCATATTTTACTGTAACAGTAGCTACGTAATTGTTAAAATGCCTGGAGGACTGAGAAATTTGGCTAATAATTGAACATGACAGAACTTCCGGGGTGAATTCCTCCGCCATTTTGTTGACGTTTTCTATGCAGGTCTATGGAGATGATGTCACTTTTCCAAGTGCTGCAGTAAAGAAGTATATACGTTCACGCTGAGAATGCATGAGGAAGTAGATAATAAGGAGGGCGGTAGCTACTATTCGCCCGTAGAAATGTGTATGCCGTAGAGAAATGTATGTAGATGTTGGATATCCCTAGGCAAATGACATGTATGAACCCTGCTTGCACACGTATGATTGTGTAGCAAGAGAAACTTCAGAAGCCCAGCTGTCTACGCCACCTACAGTTAGCACCTGGACCTACATTACCAGACCTACATTGTCACCTGGGTGTTTATCTCATTGTATCTCCACAAACATTACCACAACACGATCACCCCCTATATAATGTGTGAGCATTCTGTAAGATGAGAGATTGAGTCCAGACACTCTCGGCGTCTAGAACGGCTGCGACCGTTCTCTCGGACCGCGCACTACATTGGCGTAGTCGGCAGTCGGCAAGAAGCAATGGCTACTCGCCCCGTCGTCACTCCCGAACTATATCCTGGAGAGGGACCATTCGAAGAATGGCTCGACCATTTCGACAGTGTGGCAAGGATTAAGGAGTGGAGCGATCAGGCAGCAGCACAGTGGTTGTCCGTCCGATTAGTCGGCCGCGCAAAGGCGGCGTACAGACGACTCCCAGAGGAAATAAGGGAAAACTTCGGCCATGTGAAAACCGCCCTACTCCGCCGGTTCGAACCCGAAAGCAAGCGCAGCCTGTACGCAGCAGAGTTCCAGGCGCGCTGCAAACTATCGTCAGAAGACTGGTCGACCTTCGCCGACGACCTAAAACATATAGTGGATAAAGCGCTACCGGACCTCGACGACAACGCTCGAGAATGATTGGCCGTAGATCGCTTCCTGACCCAAATCTCAGATCCGCAACTGGCTTTCGGCGTCCGACAGAAGGAACCCAAAACCATTGACGCGTCGCCGCAACACTGGAACTACAGGCGCATCTCAACCTCGCCAATGCCGCAGGTGCTCGGACCGGCGCTTTTCCGGTTGACGCCATTCACCACGGTCGTCGGCCCGTTCAACAAGACCGCACGGCAGAACTCTTAGAGCAGTTAGTCACACGGATGGAGAAACTCCAGACGGATCTCTCTACACAAAACCAACAACGACCTGCTCTTCCTCGTCGACAGCGACCACCGTCGTCGTGTGGTCGCTTCCGTGATCGTAACCAGCAGCCGCAAATGCGACAAGACCGTGGGCCCATCGTTTGCTACCGCTGCGGACAAGAAGGCCATTTCGCACGAGGGTGTGCAACCCCCGCTCGTCCCCATCAGAACCAGGAAAACTAGGACCCCTCGGCGCCACTGGCTGGGCGTACGAGGGAATTTCCGACACGGCCGTTAATACGTACAATGTTTTCCCGCACAATTCACCCACCGCTTTTACTATCCAGGGCACCGTGTTCCATACCCCAGCAACATTCCTGCTAGATACCGGCGCAGCTGTGAGTCTCCTCCGACAGGACATATGGCAACGGGCAAAGGCACCCCAGCACTACTTGCGCCCATGGACGAGCGACTCCCTGGTTGAGGTAGATGGAACCCCTCTAACCCTCCATGGCTTCACTGACGTCACTATTCATCTCTCAGGTATCCCTTTCATGGCTTGGATTTCCTCCAGGCCAACAGATGTGTCCTCGACATGGGCAAGCGTACTCTACAAATCTCTCAGCACCCACCGATCCCCCTGTTGTCACCGCAACCTCCTCCACACCAGCCTCCCCCCTGACTGTATGCCTCGTGGACACCGTCAGAATCCCACCATCTAGTGAGTTAGAAGTGCTAGCATATGCACACAACCCAGAATGCCCACTAACACCACAAACTTGTATTTTGGAACAAAAGCAAACGAAAACGTTACCTGTGTGTATCGCAAGGGCCCTAGTAACACCATCACCCAAAGGCTTCCCAGTTCGCCTACTAAACCCTAGCTCCGACCCTGTTGTACTGTACAAAGGTACCTCTGTCGCCACAATCGAGCCAATTGCGGGGACCCATATATGCCCTGTAAGCTCTAACAAGCCTACCCAACTTTCTGTGGCAAAACAGGAGATATTGTATACATTGTCCCGGCCTGATAACAATAGCCTGTCATCTGAACAAAGTCATGCATTGCTCTCTGCATTAATGGCGTACGCAGATGTTTTTGCGGACGGCCCGGAGGACGTGGGTCGAACAAACAAGATTCAGCACCGCATCCATACGGGAGACTCGGCGCCGATCCGCCTACACCCACGCCGGATCCCGGCGGCCCATCGCGAGGAAGCGCGATCCCTAGTGAAGGAGATGCTCAAGGGAGATACCATCCAGCCGTCGAGCAGCCCATGGGCATCGCCCATTGTACTGGTCCGGAAGAAGAATGGGACATTGCGATTCTGTGTGGATTACCGCAAACTTAACGCAGTTACTCGCAAGGATGCCTATTCTCTCCCAAGGGTGGACGACACTCTGGACACACTGGCACACTCGCGTTGGTTCAGTACTTTGGACCTTATTAGTGGCTATTGGCAGGTGGAAGTTCACCCAGAAGATCGCGAGAAAGCGGCATTTTGCACGCCGGAGGGACTCTTCGAGTTCAAGGTCATGCCTTTTGGGCTGTGCAATGCTCCCCCAACATTTCAACGCCTGATGAACTCCATCCTCGCAGGCCTACCATGGAACTCCTGCCTGGTTTCCCTTGACGACATCATTGTTACAGGTGCAACGTTTCACGCTCATTTGGAAAACCTCTGCCAGGTCTTTGACCACATCAAGAAAGCGGGCCTCAAGCTCCAACCCTCAAAGTGCGCACTCTGCAAACCCGAGGTCACCTTTTTAGGTCACATTGTGACCCAAGAAGGCATTGCTACTGATCCAAGCAAGACCGACCGAGTGGCCTCGTGGCCGACACCAACATGCACGCGTGATGTGCAGCAGTTTTTGGGATTAGCGAATTACTATCGTCGCTTCATTCAACATTTCGCCTCGATTGCCAACCCTTTCCACCGCCTCACAGAGAAAACAGCGCCCTTCAAATGGACAACAGAATGCCAGACCGTGTTCGATGTTCTTAACTCATTCGGGACGGGATTGCTAAGCGCATTTCGTACGCGCAAATCGCGCGCGTAATATATAAATCATTTCACGCGGACGTACGTGCGCCTGCGCGAAAGCGCGTTGTCACGCGTGGTCAGAAGACACTATCTCGCGCAGCAACCGCCAGTTGGACAAGTTCATCCTTTAGGAGAGCCTCAGAGGTAAGCTTAGCTACTTGTTTCTCGTATGTAGCTAATGAATCATGTCATATATGCGCGTAGGTACAGGTAGAACTAGGCTGGTAGGAGAAAGTACATGTTGAGCTAGCTATATGAAGTTATTTCAGGTTAGGCCGGGTGTGGTAGGTATGGAAGCAGTCACCCAAGCACAGTGCTGGCTTTTCAGAGCATGTATTGCAGAAGGTTTTCACCAGTGCTCTTCCCCCCACACGAGCAGCGGTCACTGCACACACGGCAATCTCGCCTCTTCTGCCTTGATCGGGAAAGTGTCGCCCACGAAGCCTCTCCAAACTTTGGTCCATCCTTTGGTACCCCAAACTATCCTCCTGGACAACCCCTTGGCACAGCTGAATGGCCAACTCTCTCCTGAAGTCTTTCAGGGACATCTTGCGGGAATTACTGGTATGGGACTTATACCGCACATGTGCATTGTTGACTGCAACTTCCACCATCCAAAAAAATACTTTGCGCCACCATTTGATGGACTTTCTCTCGAAACCATAGTATGCCATCATCTGATCCATCTTGTCACACGTTCATGTGATGGTTATACTCATGTACCACCTCAGGAAGACGTTTGTTGCCAGAACACCTACAAGAGGTATAAAATTGCTGTTTGTACACTATAGTAGTGGTTCTATACACCTGTTTTGTAGACATGTCCTTATATGTATGTTACTTTCAACTAAAATTTTAACACAACTTACCGGGTAGGAACATCAAGCATTTTGTTGGAGTACTTGGTGGTAAGTGTAATCAGTGTTCACTTCTCCCTTCTTCCTTTTCCTCTTCTGTTTCAGAGCTTGTGGCATCTCTTTCCTGTTCGCCATTGCTGTCCCAGTGAGTGTCGTTTTTGATGGCAGCAAGTTCCAGAGCAAGTGTGGGACTGGTGTAAATCTGTCCGTGTACAAGTCGTACCCCATATTCGCGATTGGCTCCATCAGTGTGAGTACAACTTTGGTAGTGTGGTTTAGATCCGGCCTGTTTATGAGTTCCGTCTCACTTCCATAGTAAATCACAACCGAATAGAGGTATCCAGTGTCGCTGTCCGATAAAACATACGCCTTATCCCCCAAGGTGTAGGCTTGCCTCTTATGTACTGCCGGAATCGTACACGACCTCGAAAAGCTATCATGGCTTCATCAATTGACACAGATTTCGATGGCGTGGAAAAATCGCGTGAAACAAAGGAAGAGGAGATCAATGAAGCTCTGAATTTTGGAGCGCCTTGTTGGTCCATTTATCTCTCCTACGTGCAAGCTCCAAAATATCTGCAAAAATCTATCTCTTGAAAGCACGCGCCGAAAAAAGGGGAAGTTTAGAGTCTCATGTCTGGACCAATACTCCCTGACCTCAGGAATCTGCACCAACCCCATGTTGAGAATGAGCCCAACAAATGCTTTCATCTCAGCTACAGTAACATCCACCCATTTCCGAAAGAGAGAGCGTCGACTAGGCCGTGCATTTGACATACGATGTGTGCATAGGCGTTGGTCTGCTGCACTAAGTACATCCCATATGCTGGCATTGAAGAATAGCTTGTAGGTATTCCAATGCTGTTGCATCCCTTTGCAGAGGAATTTGAGGACCGGAGTTGGCCGAGAAAGGTGGGGTAGATGGAGCCGGAATTTCACCTATGTTTAAAAATATTTTCCCAGGTCTCTCTGACACAGATCAGCTACATATATCATTTCGTAAATGCATTCAGTATACTATACCTGCAGTCTGTCTCCAAACAGCATCATTCATATCTTCACTTTCTTCAGTACTATCATCTTCACTCTCTTCATTTTCACTAACTTCACTATCACTCTCTTCCTCTATATCTGACCAATTCGTGAGTACTTCCTCCGCCTCCATTTCCTACCCGACAAAGAACGGGAGAGATCGCGGCTGCTCACTGCGCACGCGCGATCAAAGTTGCCGCCGCCCCCTGACCTTATGAACTCTGCTAGCTAGCATCAGTAGCTCCCAGGTGAACACGGCTGACTGTTGGATGGCGGTAGGCACCCGGTAGGACCGGCGAAGGACCCTTACCAAGGTAAAAGTTTGCATGTCTCAGCATGTGAGACAGTCGTCCGCTCGCGTTAACGTGGAATGTCTCAGCGTTTGAGACACTCGTCCGCGTGCGTGTACTTAGTGTGTCGCAAACGCTGAGACCGTCGTCCCGAATGAGTTAAACACCGACTGACGACAGCCCCTGTGTTAGTACACCCACACTATGACCGGCAGTTCATCTTAGACACGGACGCTAGTGCTACGGGAATTGGTGCAGTATTATCTCAGCTCCACGATGACGGTAATGAGCATGTCATTGCCTACGCAAGCCGGACACTCAGCAAACCTGAACGCCGTTATTGTGTCACGAGGCGGGAACTCCTCGCCGTTGTCACCTTCATTCATCACTTTCGACCATACCTCCTGGGCCAAAAATGTTCGCTCCGCACTGATCACAGTTCCATCACATGGCTGCGAAGTTCCGAAGGGCAACTGGCGCGCTGGATCATGAACCTCCAGGAATACGACTTCTCAATTTCGCACCGACAAGGAAAGAAGTACAATAACGCTGATGCACTTTCCAGGCGTCCGTGCCCCCAGTGTGAACGTACTGACCACCCAGTGCTGGTGCTGCCTACCACCTCGACTTCCCGACCACCCAAGCATTCACCAACCCCTCCGGGTGACCCAGACCCAACAGCAACGCAGCAGGTTGCTGCAACCGCTCTCCTACCAGTATCTATCACCAGAGATTCTCAGTTAAACGACAGCTCTATTGGGGTCATTCTGACGGCGGTCGAATCTGGAACAAAACTCCCAGAGAAAGAGCTCAAGAGCCGGAGTCAGTAAAGCCGCTCACTCCATCAGCAGTGGGACATGCTGCAAGTCAAACATGGAAAGTTATGGAGAAAGTACTCCCTGCAGGATGGAACGGTGTCGGTCCTCCAGCTGGTGGTGCCA